ATATATATATATATATATATATTGATGGATGGGCGAGGATTTAGAACATTCACTCTCCGACCATGAAACTCCGACTATATATATATATATATATATATATATATGTGTGTGTGTGTGTGCACTCACTGGCTACATAATTAAGTACACGTGACCAAATGCTCTTTTATGCAAATTTCTAATCAGCCTGGCAGCAATTTATTGAATATAGGCATTTAAACATGCTCATGATGACTTGTTGAATTTTATTTCAAGCATTAGTTTTGGTGAAAGGAAAAGTCTCCGGACGGATGAGTCAGTCAGTGTGGCTAAGTTAGTAACAGGGCAAGTGTTGCCCAGTCCCCACTTTTCCCTATTTTTTCCTTTGAGGCAGATTTGTACATTGGAGCACAATAAATATTTATTTTATGCATTAGTATGGGAAACAACGGTAATTTAAGTGACTCGAAACGCGGCTTGCTCTTTGGTGCCACACGGGCTGGAGTGGGTATTAAAACAAATCTAATAATATTTTTACATACAACCATCACTAGGGCTTACAGAGAATTAGTCAGAAAAAAAAATCTACTGAGCGGCAATTCTGTGATCGGAAATCCCTTGTCGATGAAACTGGTCGCTGGAGAATGGACAGACTGCTTCAAGCTCAGAGAAAGGCAACCGTATCTCAAATATCCACTCTTTACAGCGGAGGTAAACGGAAGAGCATCTCTGAACATACAAGACATCAAATCTTGAAGCAGATGGGCTACAGCAGCAAAAGAGCTACTCCTGTCAAATAAGAACAAGAAACTTAGACTATAATACGCTAATCACTAAAATTAGACAACAGATTATTAAAAAAAACTTCGTCTGGTTTGATGAGTCAATATTTCTGCTGCGACATTCGGATGGTAGGGCTGGAATTTGCTGTAAACAACATAGAAGAATAGATCCGCCCTGCATTGTATCAACGGTTCAGGCTGATGGTGTAATGCTACGGAGGAATGTTCTGGAGGCATACATTAATAACAATAAAAGATCGTTTAAATACTGTAGCCTACCTAGATATTGTAGCTGACCATCTGACTTGGTTTATTATTACGGTACACCGATCCTCTGGTAGTTACCGCCAGCAGGACACCGCACCGTGTTACAAATAGAAAAATAACGGCAGATTGGTTTATGGAACATAGCAGTGGGTGTTCTGTGTTCAAGTGACCTCACAGTTACCAGGTTTCAATCCCATTGAGCACCTTCGGAATGTGGAAGAAAGAGAAATTCGAATTCTGCACGTGCAGCCAACCAAATCTAAAAGATTATGAAATGTCATAATAACAGCACGGACACAAATTTCGAAATTGTCCTTTTGTTCAATTCGCACCAAGTAGAATTGAGGCGGTTATAAAGGCAACGATGTGTTAAAACCGGTTCGAGAAGAATTTTGTTTTAATCATTTCCCCCCCCCCAAGCAAGGCGATAATGCCACTAAGACGCAAGGTGTTATTGGAAGTGAAAGAAAATGAGAAGACTTTAGATGAAGGAACTTGGAAACCCAATCGTTAACAGGAAACAAGGGATAAACCTCTACTCCTGTTCAAAAGAAAGGGAAGAAAATGGAACGAGACGATGAGATAAATTATCTACCCCTATTAATACCTAATAAATTGACCGGTAAGTCATAATCAACTCTCTGATTTCGTTTAAATTTAGAAATGAATTGAAGTCATAATTTAACTAGGAAAGGATTTATTATTTCATTTTTTTTAATTAAGTATGGAAGACTGTGTCTATGAAAATAAAATCTCAAAATAATATGTAATAGTTTTTGTCCATAAATACTCTGGTCCTCAACAGAAGTGCCCATCTATACGTAAATGTTCCTGTCATTTTTTACGGGTGCTATGCTTTTATATTTATAAAACATCAGACACTTAACCATTTTATTGAAAGGTTTTTGTCGAAAAGCATGTAACCCAAATATACCAGAAATACTCAAGCGAATTCTCTGCGCTCAATATTTCTATCGCGTTAACTAAAAGCAACATCAATGGTCGGAATTTGAACCAATTGGAGACTTTATTCAAACTCGTCAATAGTAATTCCTATAACACAGTAAAACAGGTCGACGAGAATCGATATGGATATTTATTTAGATATCAGTGAATCATTCGAAAAAAAAAACCGGCTTATCAAGTTGTCAACTCGGCAAATCGTACACGTCTATCAACAGGCATGTTTCTACTAAGCAATATTAAGTGTTAACTTATGTCCTGTGTGTGTTACGACGTTTGACAGAAATCCAGATTAACGCACCCAATAATCAGCTAGATACCGTAGGATACATAAATTGCTATATTAACACATTGACACAAATAAACAAAATCTTAATAGAAAAGGCGGTGGGGAAAACAACGAAGTTTTATGAAAAATAATTAAAAAAAGGAAACAAAAAAAAAACACTCATACATAACATCCGAAAGAAACAGTTGAAATTTCTATGACACATAATGAGGAAAGAGGGCTTGGAAAATTAGATACTCACGAGACAGTTTGAAATCAAGAGGGACAGATGAAAACTACGCATAACTTATCTAGGGAGCTTGTGAAAATGGATGGCGGAACAAGGTTTAGGAGAATCTGTCTATATTTCTGAGATGAGGTATTATGTACATTATTTATATTATTCGGACTATTGTCCTCATCTTTGTCGCCATATTTATCACAACGTTTCGGCCGTTGTACGCTCCGGTCTTCTTCAGGTGGTTGGAATGTCGAACTGAACCCTTTATTTCGCTCACCGGGGTAGACTGTTCTAGTTCCACGTGCCATGTTTGATGGATGTCAGTTATCAGTTATCTCCTGTTAATTTCCCTCTGAAAGTTCTCCACTGCCTTAACCGGGTATTGAACTCACACGCTTTGGGTCCTGTCACTGGATCTAACCAACGACTTTAACCACTCTCCATATTTGGTCAGTATAAGTAGTACCCTACAACGTAACAACTACCCTGGGTACATGGCAGCAGCCACCCAAAACTGGGATAGGCGGGTACAAGAGGAGGAGGACAACAACACTCAGAAAACAGTCTGCCTGCCTTATGTGAAGGGGTTATCAGAGGAAATACAAAGATGGGCTAGATGAGGACAATAGTCCGAATAATGTAAATAAGGTTTAGGAGATATAATAAAAAGACAAAATTTATTAATAGCTACAAATGACAGGAAATTGTGGAGGACCATGACCTCCAACGTCCTGAAGAGCTACAGTACATAGAAGAGGGATACATAAATTATTATATTAATACTTTGCTACAAATAAACAAAATCTTGATAGAAAAGGCACTGGATAAATGACTGCAATTATTTTCTTCCATGTGCAAGAGAAAAGGACATCCGAGTATTGCCAGTGAAAATATAATCAGCAAAACGAATTCAAATCCCGAACTAATCATTTGCGTTTACTTCAAACTAATACTACTCTTTAAAAAAGTATGAACCTATATTTCCCATTCCAAACTATGAACTAAATAACAGGGTAGACTGAGCACTCTAGCCTTGGCTGGAAGCCAGTAGTGGGAAATACTACTCTAAATTCAAAATCATGCAAAAGGCAACGAGAAATCAACCCGCTATCTTTCCCAAAAAGCTATGGCAATTCACACATATTAATGAAAAGGAAGCTGTAGAGAGTTATGCCTGGACTGGAAAATATACAAAAATGTAATACTAATCAGCGTATAACTCTCACTCATAATTTGACACGGAAAAGACTAAAAAAATTAATAATTTCCAGTTAGCCATTTTTTTGTCAACATCTTAAGTTTTTCAAATTAACTACAATGTTTCTAAGTAGCAAGCTTAATGATTATAACAATTTTCCTTAGTTTTTTAGTTGTTCTTATGATATTCTTACTGAACGAAACGTTGACAAATAGAAAAAACATTTTAAACTTCCAACTGGTTCCTACATATTTCATTTTATAAATGTCGTAATTATCAAAGTTTATATCAGTATGCGTCCGTAACAGGTTATATTACTGTCTCGAAATCCTTCCTCTCTCTCTCTCACACACACACACACACACACACACACACACACACACATACACACATACATACACACAAACACGTTTTGGTACTTTGAACATTTTCTTACTAATTTCATCCGAAGCAAGACAATAAAGCCACTAAGACACTGATTACTAAGTGTGAAAAAATTTAAAAAAAGAGTAAGATTGTTAAGGAATGAAAACAATAAAAGAAGAGGAATCAAGAAAACAGTAGATAACGCTTGACACTGCATTTCAATATTTGAAGATCAAAGTTGGCTGGAAATTATGGAGCCGGAAGAGTTCCACAGACAAGAAGTGTGAGAAAATAAATTGTTATCAAATAACTTACAGTTACATCGAGCCATTTCAACTGAAAAATGATGAGACCTTGCTGTGAATCTAGTACTGCGTTTAAATTTATAAAGTCTAGGTACCATAGAGCAAAGTTCATACGAATAATTACCATGAAAGTATTCATAGTAAATGCACAGGGAAACGACATTATGGCGGTGGGGAAAATGACTGAAGTGGGATGCCAGATTCTTCAAGAATCTCTAAATATATAGTAGGTGCTCCAGACCATATGTGGAAGCAATATTCGAAGCATGGGCGAATAGTAGACTTATAAATATGTAAGATAGATTCTGGAAAGACAGTTGTCTAACATAACACAGTGTACCAATTTTCCTAGCAGCAGACCTAACAATTGATTCAATATAATCTTTTCATTTCATGTCAGCAGAGAATTGTAGTCCCAGAAGGCACAACATGTTTCTCTCCTGGAGGTTAGCATCAGCCAAGCTGACGGAAGGCAGAAAGAGATCTCTCAGATGGTTAATAGAAAGCATTTTTGTTTTGGGGGCGTTAAAATTAACAAGCTACTCCTTGTCCCAGTTAACAACAGATTTTAGTAAACATAAAATTGTCTGCTGCTTTGTTCAAAAACTATACCTGCCAATAATTATAGTTGATAATGGTCAAACTCAAAACCAACATCATTGATCAGCAGACGTCGATTAGCGAGGTCCGGTTCCTGCTGGGGAGCTGAAATCAAAAGAAAAGCCGACAAGCAGGCAGCCATTACACATACACTGGGTGAACTCAGAAGAAGCTTTTCACTTATCCTATTTCTCTCAATCTGTCAAATTCATCTTGCTGGTTATTACGCATATGGGGATTTGATCATGCCGTGACCATAAAGATGTGATCGGAATAATCCCAGATTCATCTGAGGCCAATTAATTCATCGGTGTAATCTCTTAACTAACCATTAAGTCGTCCCCTTCTTTTTTGGACTTCTTGACATAGCACTCAAATTTGACATTTACTTTCAGTAATTTTCCCGCCTTTTTCTTTTTCGTTTCTTTTTTCCCCGCCTTTTTCTTTTTCGTTTCTTTTCTCTTTTTTCCCAATTTCTCAAATCCTTTACTCCTCTCTCTACCTCTCTATCTTTATCTCCTTTTATATATCAATCGAAATTCCGTTTTCTTTCAGCTTTAATCATTTATCACCTTCCCCCTTTTACTTTCCCGGCGTCGTCCTTTTTTTATTGCTCACATTCATTTATCTCTAACCTTGGTTGGCAACCAGTCTAGGAAAAGGAAAACCATACAGAAAACAACAGGGAAATCTTTTCCCCAAGAACAATCAGAGCAATGCACAATTTACGTATATTAAATGAAAAGGAAGCTGGGAAGAGCTATGAAGGAGTGATGGTTATCAATATAATCTACCTTTTCCAATCAATTCGATCTTAAATAGTTATCTAATTATTACGGTCCTGTGTCAAATCAAGATATAACTACTAAATGCTGGAAGGGCATATTTTTTTTTTTTTTTTTTTTTGAACAGATACGCGCGAATGTAGTATGGACGCTAGTTTGCGTATGGATCCGCTTGCAAATGTATGCGTCCATATATAAGGCGAACGTGTTCGTGTGTGTGTCGGCGATTAGGAATAATTACGTTGTCCGTCAATAACTTTCGCTAAAAGAAACAAAGAATTAAAGAATTAAAGGGCAGCAAAAAAGAAAGAAAAAGAATCAAAATATAGAAAAAAAAGTTTCAAAGAAGGTAAGAAGAACTCAAAGGAAAGAAAAACAGAATGATTCGCAGAAAGAACGAATGAAAAAAGAAAAAGAAAGAAAAAGATAGAATTTTTCGCCCGGTTGAATACTTTTGCTGTTATTACATTTGAAGAATAACGAGTTAATCAGAAATTACGGATTAACATTTGCTGGATTAATATTTCCGAATTAAGGAAATATATTAATTTTGCCCGTCGATTGTCAGACTGAGAGTTACTGTGAATATCGCTTAACTCCTCTCTCTCTCTCCTGCTCTCTCTCTCTCTCTCTCTCTCTCTCTCTCTCTCTCTCTCTCAGTTTTCTTGCAACTCCTTCTTCATGTTACTTTAGTGATTACCTCTTTCTTCTGTCCAATATTACTCTCTCAGTAGGTTCTTCTTCCCTGTTACTCTATATTTATAAAGCTGCCATCTTTCTTCGCTCTGTATTAATGGTGGACGATATAAGCACAAAGATTGTGACTAATTGTTTACATGCAGATTATTTTCCTAATCTTTGTTGTTGCTATCACAAAGTTTCGGCCTTCATCAGATGTATGTCGATCCGAGGGAATCTCGAACTGAACCTCTTGTATGCAATCTACAGGAGTAGATTGTTGTCGTCCCGATGCTAGGAAGATTTCGTTCAGTTCCTTATTTTTAGCACTGCCCATTTACTGCTCGCCCTGTTTCTACCGAATCCAAGTACACACTGCCCGGCCCAGGGATTGAACTCCCAATTACTATGTTACCAAATTCAAAATAGCAAAATATAAATTATAATAACTCCTCATACCAGAAATATTAATATAAAAGATCATTAGTTGTTCGTAGTGAGTTCGATCCTCACTGGATGTCATGTAATTATAAACTTGTGATAAATCTAAACTAAACTGAGTAAATAAATGTTATATATATATATATATATATAATATATATATATATATATATATATATATATATATATATATATATATATAATGTGTGTGTGTATACCATGATGTCAGAGCGTTTTGTTGTAGGTTATTTGGTTTTCGTGAATCTTACAACTATCAGTACATGTTCGAACGCTTTCAAATACCATTAGTAATTTTTCAAGGACATAATTTGTTGTGGCTTTAAAATTCAAGTTTAGATGCAATTTTTATTTTGTTTTATGTTTTTTATATCATAGCATTTGGTATTTGGAGAGCTATAATTTTATAACATGTTTTGACGTGTTGATGTCGTCATTTGTGGGCCGCTTACAACAAAATTAGGGCAGTCTGTGGTATTATTTAGATAAAGATCCAATGTTCATTCATTACCGAATATATTTAATGCAGCAGTTCTCAAGCTGAAAGACATCGGAAGTAATATCTATTCCCCCCCCTCTTGTTTATATCTGTTCCTTTCACGCTGTTCCTACTTATTTATATGAACGTGTTCATTATCTATCTATCTCTCTCTCTCTCTCTCTCTCTCTATATATATATATATATATATATATATATATATATATATATTGATGGTGGTATCATGATTGCGTTGTATCGGATTCGATTCTCGATAGTGGATGTGCACTGCTGATGAGTCCCAAAAAGGACGAAACGGCCGTCTAGTGCTTTCTGCATTCTGTTGAGACTTCTTGTTGTGTCTATTTATTTTAAGTTCCTTTCATATTGTCTGATAAGCTTAATCACATTATCATTGAAAGATAACCATATTGACACATTTTTAAATCCAATTTAAGCTTTCGGCTTACATAAGCCATTATCAAAGATGACAATTTCAATATATCAAACAACACACGGACGAAACAACAATGATTCTTGAAGCTATATACATAAACAGTTGAAACATAACCTGAAAAAAATGAACTACGAAATCTCCACAAATATTCTTAAATGCCTATAATTTATAACAGAAGCCATTGTTTTATACAAACGGCTTCCCATACTTAATACTTCTCGTTTTCACTCTCGCGTGGTCATGTGTGACGTTACGAGCTGCGACGCGATTTTCGCTTCCGCGTCTTGTATACACGAGTTTGTTGCTGCTTTGAAATTTTTCATGCAGCAAGGGCGGACTATCATTGTTGTTTCGTCCGTGTGTTGTTTGATATATTGAAATTGTCATCTTTGATAATGGCTTATGTAAGCCGAAAGCTTAGATTAGATTTATACATGTATCAATATGGTGTTTTCCTTTCGTCTTTCAATGATAATGTGATTAAGCTTATCGGACAATATGAAAGGAACTTACTTAAAATAAATAGACAAAATGTGTCTATATTATTTAATGAAACATATATATATATATATATATATATATATATATATATATATATATATATATATGAGCCTGTTCCTATCTACCTGAGCCTATTCTATATTTCTCTATCCGGGCCTGTTCTTAGCTATCTATACTTGTTCATGTCTATCTATCACAAGCTAGTTTTATTTATCTATTTTTGTATCTATCTATCTATCTATCTACGTATACTATTATTGGCTCAATACAAGATCCAAGAAGAAAGGTAAGAATTGAAGTTCATGGGGGTAGGGGGCTATGCAGAAAAGATAACGAACCCGAGAGCCGAAGAGGTCAAGATTGTTGCGATTGGGAAAACACCCTGGGGAGTTCTACAAAACAGCAATTCTTGAGAAGAAGCTTTCTGAATAGAACTTACTACTTAGTATTGGAATAAGAAGTCGAGTGGAAATATATTCATCCCTGTATACAAGGCTTGGCCGGCCTTAGTTGTAAAGGTTAGGGCTGGTGAGACTAAGGTATGTAGCTCGTCAGAACACATGTTATGGAAATAGACAGAGTAACGATATAGAGTCTTTCGGAAAAGGGTCGCAGGGTGGAAAATAATTCATCACCCACAAGGCCAGATATGACAGCAAAACTTTTTTTTTGTCTGATCTGACTCTTGTAAAGATAGAGTATAGCAGGGAGTGTCAGAAACTTACAAAGATCGGATCATTTTTCTAGTAACTTTACCAATTAATCGGATATATGTTCCACTTGAGGTCTGAGAAGAGCTTGAGTCCCAACGGACATTCATGACAATAAGCCTCCATGTGAGGATATCTATCTATCTATCTATCTATCTATCTCAGTCTGTTCTCATCTATCTACCTATCTATCTCAGTCTGTTCTCATCTACCTATCTATCTCAGTCTGTTCTCATCTATCTATCTATCTATCTATCTATCTATCTATCTATCTATCTATCTATCTATCTCAGTCTGTTCTCATCTATCTACCAACCCTCCTTTGTAGCCGATATACTTTTATATATCTGGTGGCTGTGACTGGTGTTCTAGTCCTTGTGAAAATAAATTTGAAAATTTCTCGATATATTTATATAATAAATATGCCATGTGAATTCAAGCTGATAATAACAGTTTTAACTATACATATTTACTATTACTTACTTGGTGGTGTGAAATTTTATAATGCAACTCAAAGGTTGTTCTTCATATTAGATGTGTGTGTGCTATTGATAGTTGTCTTTTAATCTTTTACATATATATATATATATATATATATATATATATATATATATATATAAATACAAATATTACATTTGTCGCTTAGCTAATTGATGTTATATTCAGACTACTCCAGATTTTCGTAGACAAATTTCTTTGTAATCGTTCGTCCCACTCGTCAGGAGCTGTGGTGATACCTCGTGACGAGTGAACCGAACGATTACAAAATGGTTTGTCTACGAAACTCTGTAGTCAGGGTACTGAATATATATATATATATATATATATATATATATATATACTGACGAATTGTAATAAATATATAAGCTTAAAGGAGAAATGAGATATTGTAAAGATATTGATTGATGAGAACACAACATTGGAAATTACAACAAAGCTGAACAAAAATCATAGAACAATAATAAATGGCTTTAAGAATGTCACAAAAAGAAATATGAGAAAAATTAAAGAAGGGTAATTAGTAAGAGAAGTGGACTGATCAGCAAATAAATATTTGAAGAAGATTGTATAAAAAATGTAAATAGCGAGAAAAGGTTTAGAACATTAAGAACGTTGGTTAAAGACATGAAAACAACTAAACTTCCCTTTTTACGTCGCTATCGCAAAGAGAAATGTGTCAATTAGACGATGAAGGAAAAAACTGTTTTTGATTTGTGTAAAATTTTGAAGAGGAGCAAACGACATCATCAAATCTAATTCCAGGAAGAAACCGTTTAATTCGTATCAGGAGAGTCATTGAAGCTGTCAAGAAGAGGGTGAAAAGAAATCCATGAAAAAGCACGAGGAAGATGGCAAAAGAAGTGAATATTTTATATAGATCGCTAAGAAGGATTGTGAAAAAGGATTTAGGGCTAAAACCATACCAGATTCAACAACGTCATCTGCTCTTAATTGGCTCCAAGCAAGAACGGCTTGGCAGGGAGAAAGAAATGTTGGAGTAGATGCAACGTGCAGCATGCAAGGTCTTCGTTTGGCCGGACGAGAAGACTGTGGTGGCTACCAAAAGGATCGAGTTTACGCCACTTCACCAGGAAACATTCCCGAAAATGTCAGAAAACATTTCAAGCGATAAAAATCAACTGGATTGTTCTGCGGTTGCTTATGGCGGCTTGGAATCAACTCTTTTGCGTTCATTGTAGAAGGAGTGAAAATTAGTTAGCAGAATTTACCAGCAAAAGAATGCTGAGAATACCATGGACGGAGGGCGCAAGCAACGAAGCCCTTTTTTGGAAAATGTAAACAAAAAGGACACTTATACTTAGAATCAGAAAGCGACAATTGAAATTTCTAGAACACATAATGAGGAAAGAAGGCTTGGAGAATTTGAAACTCACAACGAAGATAAAAGGACCTAGGAAAGGAGTGAATAATCTACCTAATAAGCTTAAATGGTTATCTTGAACAGGAATTAGGAGAGATAGCGAAAAGACAAACCTTACTAATAGCCACAAACGACAGGAAGTTGTGGAGGCCATGGTCGCCAACGTCTGAGAAGGGACATGGCACATAGAAGAAGGAGAAGAAGAAGATTGGTTAATACCATTATTTTTTGTGGAAACGTTGATCGGACTTAGTGTACTAAATGTGGAAAATAAATGTAATCGATTTATTGATTGTTCAATTCATTAACTGAATTACTAACCATCTGCTGCGTTCGCATTGAAGCGCTTATCTGCTTACAGTTGTGTTGTCTTCGAAGAATGAAAGAAAGAAAGAAATGCACTCGTAATACAAATAGAAAGTCAAAATCACTGAAGAAAAGGATCAACACACTACCACCCCGATAATAATCCTATCATCTGTCCACTGTATCGGGTGACTTAATCTAAAAGTCTTTTCTACCCGTTCCTGCAATCTGTTCTCAAATTTAAAAGTAGGAAATAGATTGTGTTCCGGATTTTTTTCGACGGGAGACGCAGAAATAAATATGACATTGAATTTAAAAAAAAAAAGAAAATCCTTTTTTTTTTTTTTTTTTTTTTTTTTTGTAAACCGTATCTTTTCAGGACGTAGGCGATCATTGCTCTCCACAACTTCCCGTCGCTTGTAGTTCTTAATAAACTTTGACTTTCTGTTATTTCTTCTAAGCCCAGTTCCCCATCCATTTACTCAAGATCATTAAGTATGTTATCCGTTGTTTTACTCTGTCCATCTTGCCCTCTTTCTGTCCCGTGAGTATCAGATTTTCTAAGCCCTCCTTCCTCATATACCCCAGAAACCTCAACTGTTTCTTTCTGATATTAAGAGACAGTTGAGGTCTCTGGGGCATATAATGAGGAATGTCCCCCCCCCCAAAAAAAAACACTACAAGTAATATTAATGTAAGATCTGCAAACATCAATGTATATTTCTGACCAGGCATCTTTTAAAACTAGTAGTGAGGTACTGCTTTGAAGATGGACCACCTGTCTCCACTTCTTTTTTCATTTTTGTTTTTTTTATCTATCCAAAAAGTTTTTTACTCTTACAATAGTTTTTGCCACCCCATAATGATAAAATATGACACAACTTCAGTAATTTAGCATGTGAGGAATTCATATATTTACCTGATAAAGTCAAATGCAGAATAAAGGGATTTTATTGTATCGGTTACCTACGTAGGGGCTACTGTTTGTAGAATATTGCGGTCTAATGTAATTTCTCTAATGGCATTATTTGGTTTTCGGATTAAATGATACTTTGATATCAAAAATAATATTAATACATCAGAAAGAAGTAAAGGATGCCAAGTCAGTACAGATACAAAGCAATAGCCGTGGAAGTAACTTTATAGATCTACTTCGCGTCTCTGAAAGATTCCGTATGTGGTAATTATTCTGAAAGATTCCTTATTGTGCGTTGTTAGTTGGTCTGTATTTAACGGCTCCTATGAGGGTGTCAGAAAAATACTTTCACTGATGTTTTTAGGCCAAATGATCTAATAGCTTCCAGTATCCAGAGGATTGAATAAAACTAAATTTCTCTTTTACTATTGCCGACGAGTAAGACATGGCCTCGACACAACCTCAGTCGTTACAAACAAACCGATATGATTTGCGATCAATAGTGGTGATTTCGATAAATACTTATCTTTACGAAGAGAAGTAGATATTCAAAACAATATAAAATGCAAACTGTTCTAAAATTAACGAAATGGTTTAAAACACTTATTTTTTGTTTTTTCAATCTTGAGTTATTCGTTTATACCTACCATAAAAACGGCAGCATTTAAATAATTGTTATTGCATTGTATCAAAAACTTTATCTTACTCTGCACTTTCTTGTTCCCGTTCAATACTTACTTAATATTAGACTAAAAGTAAAATTAAAATAATAATTGATCCTCTGTATTGTCCGCATGCTATAAATAAAAACAATTAAAATATATGAAACTAACGTTTAATATATAAATATATTTAGTCGTACCATTAAAATTTTACGTACAAGCCCTATCACAATTTAAGAATTCTTTTAAAACAATATTCATTATTTCCTGAATATTAAATTAAACAAATATTCTATCCATCGCTGAAGTATTAAGGTTTCAAGTAGAAAAATGCCTACGCCGATAGATGAGTCCATTATATACATATGAACAATTCGCCCATTACCATATAATAGACGTGGAGAAAATTAAATAAAACCAATAAATAAAATAACGAAAGAAAAATTCATTTTCCCATTATACAATTTATAAAGAAACCTGAAAAGGTTTCTGGTCAAATGCGCGATTTTATGATCTCCACTTACGAAAAGGGAAGAATCTTTCTCGTTCTCCTCTTGGTTTCAAGGTGTGAACAACGCAGTAATAGCGTTTCCACTGTGGATTGTTAGTTTTCCCGGTCCACTGACGAATGAACTTGTTCCACTTTCCAACGAGATCATTCGGACGTGTTTTCAGTAGCCCTATCCGTGAAGTAGAGATTCGACCATCCCAACTCAGCGCGAGTCTAACTTGAGCTCGATCATCTTTACCCGTTCTTATCCTTACTTCTCATAAATAATGTCAGGACCAAAAGGAAAACGGACATACTCAAGAGACTTTTTAACTTTATTTCAATAGTCAGCATAAAAGGAATAAACGTCCATAGCAGAAACACAAGTTTCTTACGCTTCTTCAATCTCTTTTGTTTAAATATTGAACAACAACCTTCACCAAAAAATACATACAAAACCCACAACCATGTTAACATCCACAGACTCTTCTGATGACCTAGAAAAGAGTTATACTTCACTCGTTAAAGTGGTGATTTTTTAAGCATAGCTTAGATGTAGCACACGGTCGAATGTATGGGTCACCCAATGACAATGAACTCACTACACAATTGTAATTGTTCTAGCGAGACAAGCTTGCTAACCATTATACGATATCGTTATAATGATTTACTGTAGAAGAAGGCTGAAAGAATTGAACGCCAAGTGAGGATTGAACTCACAACTGAATCGTAATTGCTATTACAACACGTTGAAGCGCCCCTTTGCTCGTCATATAACCAACGAAACAACACACGGATACTAAATACAAATCGTTACACTGAGTTTCACGTAGAATGATCGTCATTCTACGTGAATGATCGTGAGACAACAAGAATCATGAAACTCGGGATAACGATTTGGATCTCATCTCTTTATGCTGCTCGGCTGGTTAGTGGCATTATTCTGTCTTGATCTATTTACTATTGAGTACTTTAGGTTATTCCCTGGGTTTGTCCTTTCTCTTTTGTCATTTCTCTTTATCTTTCCTTTCCTTTCTTTAGTCGTTTTTTTTTTTTTTGTTTTTGTTTTTTTGTTTGGTAAGCTTTATGTTGATATGGGTGTAT